AACCCCTCTCTCCCTCAGCGTTGCATTAGATGCAGACAAACAAAGCTGTTCGGTCGACTGCGTTCAAAACTGGGGGTTTCCCTCCTCCTCTCTGTCTCCTGAAACTATCTTGTTCCATTGAAACTCGTGTACCATTTCCAGGATGAGATTTTCATTTTCAACATTTGTTTTTGGCTGATAATATCAACTGAAAATATTAATAAAATATCTTAAGAAAAAGTCGTCTGGATGGGATTTTTGTTTGAGTAGCATGTCTAAAAACTCTGAGGAACCCCTTTAGGGGAGAACGGCCATTTTGCCATGGCTTCCTAACAGCTGGCTGTCAGTAATTGGACAAATCATGGTGAATTAAAGTGAAAAATCAATAGCTATTGCGTCGAGGACTCAAAATAATGCATGAAACAGCACCGTTTGCTGCATGATGTTTGTCCTCTGGCTGGAGGGACGTGAAGAGTTGTGATCTCTTTGAGTTCGTTCACAAAGTTCGTCTGAATAAAACATCCAAAAAGGAAAAACAATAATCCTCTCCCTCTGAGCTGCTGAGGAAGTCCCGACTTCCACCCTTAAAACATGGCTGGAAAAAAGCTGTCGGCCTCAAAGAAAATTTACAGTTTGCTCCTAATTAGTTTGCTTTGTCGAGTCCAAACACATTTATAAGACGTCTTTAAATTAAAATGAGGTGACTGTGACACTGAGGGTACTCTGCTTCTACCCATTGCTCTTAACACTGATCAATTTAGTGGCATTTATCACTCTTAACCCTGTGTTGACCTAAATTACTTAAATAATCACACCTTATGCTCACTTTCAGTCACTTTAATGCAAAGTGTCAAATCGGTTTCCACTTTTATCCGAAGAAGAAGTATTTCCTCAAAGAGAACTGAAACTAGAAGATCTGATCCTGAAAATATCTGATCTGAAACTAAATTAGGGACCTGTAAGAGGGAGTTGTAGCTGTTTGATCTAAGAGAAAAAAGGTCCATGAGCCTGTTTTATTTGTGATTTAAATGGCAGATCCTCCTCTGTGTCCCTGAAACACATCTGCAGTTTAACCAGCTGAACCTGAGCAATGATCAAAGCGAGCAACCCAAAAACTTTGGCTGAAATTCAGCCGTGCGCTGGCAGCCTTCAGCTTCCACGGCTGAATCGGCGATGAGAGGTTTTCCCTGCAGTGGAGCTGAGATGTTGTTCCTGAAATAGTAGGACAGGACACGATATTTCTAGTAAAATCCCTATAATTGAGTTGACATGCTTTTAAGGCAACCTGAATAATACAGCAAGCACACCAGCTCCCATTTCACTGAAGAGCCGGTGCAAACCCACATCAATTAATCAGAGGCGTTTAAATCTTCATGGGACGCGCAGCTGCACTGAGCATGCAGATCACGGCACAAGAATTTAGCTGAGAAATCATCCCATCTAAAAGGGAGGAAGCTCAACAGATCAAACGGCTTTTGCTGACAAAGGGTTGGGCAAATGTCATTTCATATCAGGAAATAAACAATGCAAAAGGACAAAGCTGCTAAAGCAGTCCTTTAACCAAAAGTCCCATTTAAATACAGAGAATCCAGGAAAATGTTATGATTCTAGCTACATTATTTGTCACATGTACTCTCTCTATATGCTCTCTATGTACATTATGATAATATGAACTCATTCATACAAACACAAATGCTGTCAAATATATATATACTTTTTTTTCCTTTTCTTTTGGGTAATTTTTTACTTAATTTCTACTCAAAATGATTTCGGCAGGTCTCTTTCCACAGACTCCTGGGGATGTATTGTGTTTTACTGGAGCTCATCCTAAAGAAAAACAGCTTCTGGATGAAGTGATATTGTTCTGAAGCCTCTAAAACTTTAACGTTTAACCTCTGAAGCATCTCCAAAACACCTTCTGAGTGTTGGGACACAGGCTGTGCTTCTCATAAATGGATGCCTGCTGCCACACAGCTGTGAATGAGGGAGGAACCCCCCTCAGATTACCTCATTTCTCCCCCATAACTGACACCCAGTGGACTCAGAGCTGATTTCTGGGTGTGCTCCTCATTAGGTGGCTGATTCATTCATATTTTTCAAGGTAAATCTACTAAAAAAAAAACATGTTCTCATCAGACAATTTCCTAAATGCGCTGTGCTGGGCACAGAGGTAATTTCCTCTTGTTTCAGGGCGGTAATATGCTTTCCAGTGATTTGCATAATTTCCTGTCTCGCTCTGGTAAAACGGAGTTCCCTCAGGATCCCAAAATCAGCCGCATCTTGCATCACGCAGGGCTCTTATTCACATTCCCAATAAGAACTAACTCAATGAGCAAGTAGCTGAGTAGATGCAGGCGTGACGGGCGACTGTAGTGCGTGTAAACACACTTAATCATGTGTATCCAGCTGTGCTGAGGCATCGTAATAAAGGCTGGAGGCAGCCCGACACACTGTGCCGAGCACAGAGAAGGAAAAAGAATATGAACATAAGAGGATAACGTCCATGATTTATTCATTGGCCAAAGGAACCCTGCTCATTTATTCATGATTTCTTTAAATATAGTTCACGTGAATTTCAAAAGTGAAAAGGATGTTCCAACCCACATTCTCCTTATTCCCACAAACCCGTAGTGAACGCCACCTCGCACCCGGAGGACGTGCACGCGCAGGACGTGCACGTGCAGGTCGTGCACGCGCAGTACGTGCACACGCGCGGCTCCAGCTGCAACACATTCAAACCAGCAGAAGCAGATTATTGCTTTGCTGAGCTCACCAGTCAAGCTGAGATGCATCCATTTTTCATACTCACTTATACCATCAAAGGTGTTTTGCAGAGGGGGGGCGGGGGGGGGGGCACTGAGACAGGAAACCATATGCACAATTTAGCGTCTCCATTTAACTCCACACACACACACAACCAGCCGGGATTTGAACCAGCAACCTTCCAGCTGTGTGCTCGCTCGGCAGCAGCCTGGAAAACATCCAAAATATCTAAAACATATCCAGAATGTACATTCTTAGAAGGGCTCAGAGGGGGCAGGAGTCTGTCCCAGCTGTCATTGGGTGAGAGGGGGGACACACCCCCGACAGCCACGCCCACCCACCCACTCCTATGAGCCATGTAGCTTCTCTACCAGAGTCCTCTACTCTGTCAAACTCCAGTCCTGTTTGGGCCACTTTCTTGCAGGTTTTTGACATTTTCCAGCTTCTGATGAAACTGGATCTTCTCTGGACACTGTGGAGCTTTGCTGCTAACGGCTCTTTGATGGAAGAACATGCAGACTCCACACAGACACAACCAGCCAGGATTTGAACCGGCAACCCCCTTTCTGTGAACCACCATGCAACACTTAAACGCCTTAAAATAAACAGAAAGAATACGAATATCAGCTGATAAACTCAGACAGGCCCCAGTTAGTCAACGTTAGGCCAGCAGTGTCTCTAAAAAAAGCCTTAAACAGCATTCACTTCCACTCTGTGACCGTGGAGCTTATACTCCAGCTCTGCGTGCTTCGGCCGCTCCTCGCTTTTTTATTCGTGAGCCTGCAGATGTTTTAGCGTTGCAGAAAAGCTGGGGAAATGAACACTCGCTGTCCCCTCCGCACTGATTACAGGACACACCATCTGCAGAGACCAAAGCTCAGAGCTAGCATCTCGGCTCAGCCCGGGCAGAGAGAAAGCTCCCCGTCTCAGTCAGCACACATTGTCCCCCCGCTCATCGCCTGTGTTTGGCAGCAAACGAAAGAAGCCTGCGAACGGAGGCGCAGCCGCCAAATTTCCAAATCAAGTGACCTGGTGGGATTTTCTGCTGCTCCCAAGCAAAAGGAGCTTTAAGAAAAACCTGGACTCAGAGGGCTGCCAGGGAGACCATCTGTGTGCTGCATAAACTCCATCAGCTGTGCTGTCACTCCAGCCTCTGCTCCTCCATCTTTGCTTCAATGTTTGAAAAACTGACTTGCGCAAACAATGAACTGCCAAATTTGTAAACAACTCACTTTGTATTCATGCTCATAAATGTCACATGACATCAATTTCTTTTGATTTAGTCAGTGTCTGTAATCTAATAAAGATGAAATATCAAAGCAAACAGCGGAGAGATTCATCACACTGACTAGAAAAAGTGTATTTACGTTCGGCAGATTTGTTCTGACCTTTCGAAATGTAATCATTTCAAATATTCTCTTTTGTGTAAGCCAAAAGAACAAGTTATTGGACTGTAAATCCTGATTAAACTCGTCATGAAAAGGTTGTAATCACATTTAGATTGCCTCCCTCCCCTGAAGTATGTTAATATTTGCTTTCCTGTTGTTTTTCATGTCGCGACTCATAACGTCAAGGATCCAGAAACAGTTTTTTAATCCAGTCAAACAAAGGGGAAATAACACAAATATGACAAGAAATGGATAGCTGTATACTGGAATGATGTCAGGCATTTTCTGTTTTTCTTTTTATTTGTTGTTGTGTGTGTGTTTTTGTGGACTTTGTGATTGTTTTGCTTCCAGTTTGAGTCAATACATACATACATACATACATACATACATACATACATACATACATACATACATACATACATACATACATACATACATACATACATACATACATACATGTATAGTAATGATTGACTTTGTCTATCCCAGGTTCAGTTTTAGGTTTTACCAAAAGTGCTTTTTTTTTCATTCACAGCTAAATTTTCACTTCATGGTTGTCGAAGTGTATCCTCTCAGGTCTAATTTCAGCAGGTTTTCCTTAAAGAGGACATGAATGTGTGTGACCTCCAGCCCCGTCAACAAATTACAGGTCGTTAAAAGTAAATGAGCTCGGGGTTTCTAACTGAGTAGCTGTGTGTGGTTCTGCTGTTAGCTTGGGCACCTCAGAGCTCATGGATAATTCAGAGCAGACAGAGCTGACATATGCATAAAAGAGAGTTGTCTATAAGTAGAGAGGCAGACATATGCGAGAAGATGATGACGCTCCAGGGGAAGAAACCGTATATTTACATGTACAGAAAAGAAAAATCCTCTGGGTGTCACGATTAAGTCCGAGAGATTTATGATGAGCCAAAAATGTACACAGAAAACAATAACAAGAACCAAAGTTTATTCGTTTATGTGTTCAGTTCATCTATTTATTTATGTATACATTATTTTCCAAGAAACATCCTCTGGCTTTTCTGCAGGTTTGGAAATTGTATCTGCATTTACACGCCGTTAGAAAATATGCACAAAAAAGCTCAGGTTTTATTGACTTGAATCTGATGTCTTGAATAAGAGAAACATCTAAAAAGCATGCAGGACAGCATTTGGACACATCATCAATCTTGTGTGCACAGCTTCCATTCTCATGTATTTATTGAATATTTTTCCTTAAAAGCAAATACACAAGCGTATGAATAAATATAAATTGCTAAAAAAAACCTTGTTAACATAGGCAAAACAAGTCTGTTTTGGTGAGTACTGATGCTGGTTTGTGCGCAAGGAATTATGGGAAGTTTCCGCAGAAAGAACGGGCTCTAAAAGGTTCTGAACACCCACATCGGTGCACCCGTCTGCCTTTGGGATCGGACTGGTTGTGGATAAGTTGTGGGTTTGACAGCTGCGTCTTTCTGCTGAACCAAACTGGTTACGTCGATGACGTCACCCCGGAACAGTGGCGTGACCGGATCAGCTGATCGGCTGATCAGCTGACGGAGCCACCTGAGCAGAAAGGACATCTTCATCTTCAGCCATGAGCGGAGCCGCCAACTTCCGGAGCTGCGGCTCGGTGCTGGTCACCGGGGCCGGCCGCGGGCTCGGCCTGCAGATAGTCCAGACGCTGGCCAGCGGAGGATTTGCACCCGGGAGGATTATAGCCACGGCCAGAGACCCCGGAGCCGCGGAGGTAACCGCAGACACATCCGGGTTTTCCCCCCTGATGCTGTTGACCCTGAACGCATCACCCCCCCGCGGCTTAGATAGCAGCAAATAGGACAGAAGTAGAAAAAAAGCCGCCAGCAGAGGTCGCCATTTCCTCCAGATGTTTGTGGCTGACTGATGACACTTGTGTCCTTTTCACCCAGACCCTCCAAGAGCTGGCAAAGAAACATCCCAACGTCCACATAGTTCCTCTGGGTAAGATCGAGAGCCAGAACCAGCAGGGAAACATACAAAAACTCATCACAATAAGCCTCCCAGCGTACACAATTGTTTTTAAAGGCCAACAATGACGCAAATCAGCTCACAAAACAACCCAAATGTGCCAAACATCCATCTAATACAGAACTGGACAATAACAACAAGAAAAAAAAACAACTTCTTAATATTTTCTTGTTATTTTGTGGATTAAAAAATAATCAAAGTAGGGTAAAAAAAAAACAGAATACTAAAGTTGAATACTAAAGTTGTAAAAAGAACTAAGTAAGACACCAAACATGCTCAAACTGCTCAGATAGTGGACAGGGCTCAGGTTAGGATCAAATTCCATATTAATCACACATTTGTACACATGTGAAACAGATGGGGGCCAATAACCTGATTATGTTTCTTAAAAATAAACAGAAAACTCCCAAAAATTCAGAAAAGCAGCGTGAGACTGAAGTGTTCCAAATATTATTAAAATGCATGAAGAATCATCATTTATTTAGAGTCATTTTTAAGTTGGAGCATCTCAGAATAAACAGAAATATTAACTATATACATGACCACATAGAGACACAAAACAGAGAGAGACTTCAGAGAATCACGGCAACAAAAATACAGAAAACAGCCAAATCCCTCTATAAATGAGTTGAAGTGTATTTGGATTCAGTTCTGTATATTTTAAATCACATTGAGATGGCTTGTTTTGTGAGTTGAATTTGAACTATGGAAAGTTTCACACAAAGAAACACCAGAAAATGGTGAGTTAGAGCTTAAATGTCCAAAAAGACCTAAAAGAAATCATTAAATCTGACTCAAAATAATCCAAGTGTAATAAATAATGACTCAGATATATGATGACTAGATAATTAAATGCAAATTATCACAATGAAGTGCAAACAAGCTCACTAAAAAGTAATGCTTAATGACAGTTGCATAACCAGCTTTTTGTCAGTGTGGAGGTTCTGGACCTTTTTTAAACTTCTTTCCTGTAACACCACCTTTGGTTTTTGAGCACCTTTGATTATGTAGTGTAGCTAAAATAGATTTTAGATTCAATTTTCAACTTTTTAGAGTCTGAAAATGTGTTTGGAAGAATAAATGACCACATTGTCCAGATCTGATCTCCAAAGGTAACAGGACACCCAAAACCGAGGGCAGATGGGAGAGCTTTTTTGTGTGTTTCTAGTGGGTCGGTTTATTTTTTAAAGACACGTTTTGTTGAGTCTCGGCTTGCGTGTCCTGTGTAGACGTAGTGAGTCAGGAGAGCATAGAGCAGTGTGCAGAGGAGGTGGGCCGGCTGGTGGGGGAGGACGGCCTGAACTGCCTCATCAACAACGCAGGGATCAACCTGGTGGCCGACTTCCACTCCGTCACCGCGGAGAAGATGATGGAAAACTTCCACACCAACGCCGTCGCCCCCCTGATGATCACCAAGGTACTGCACACTCCAAGGTACTGACCCTTTAAACCAGGGGGGTCGAACTCCAGGCCTCTGGACACTGTGGAGCTTTGCACCGGCCAGCTAATGGCTCTATGATGTGAATCATGTGTGTTAAAACAGGGGAAACCTCTAAAACCTGCAGGACAACGGCCCAAAGAGGACAGGACTCTGACACCCCCTGCTTTAAAAGTTCAGTTTGCTTCAGAGAGAAGCAAAATCAATCCGCCGTGCTTCTGTTTTGCCGATACCCCGGGGGAAGCACCCTCCAGTGGTTCATACCCATTAAACCAACTCAAAACAAAGACCTTGAAGATCCCACGTAAGACAATCCCAAATCCTGGACCAGCCTGCGTGTCATAAATATTCATTAAAACTTTTTCATTAGCAGCTTTTGAGATATGTACGGATGAGCACAAACTGATGTTCCCAGAGGGATGGTGTTTAGAGGGAGGTGACCAGGTCTGGGGGGAGTCTGACTGGGAGGTGGAGGCAGACAGGAGCCGGCTCAGCCCAACCCAAGACTCACAAAAGACCACACGACACCACTACACAACAGCGCGATGACAAAAAGCAACACGCCTCCATAAGAATCAGAGTTTCTCAGCCAAAAGATCCAACTTTTTATGGTTCCTGCTTTACATTCAGCTTCTCTCTGTCTTCTGGGAAATGTGCTCATTTTTAGAAACCCAGTTTGTTTCCTGTTCCCAGCAGCTGCTGACCAGTGCCCCGATTACTGAGCCTCTGATTTAGAAAAGCAGAAGTTTGTTGAGTTTGCTGCTTTCGGGTGTGTTAACGCAAAGCCAAGGAGGAAAGACACCAGCAGTGCTGCTCAATCCAGAGGTTTAAGGCCAGTTAAAAATATCTGGAGCCCAACAGACGCATCTCAGACTCTGCAGGCCTCAGTGAGCAGGTCAAAGGTCAAAGGTCAGGGCAGCGAAAGCATCAGTTCAGAACAGAGATGAAAGGGAGTGGCTTCGTGGATTATTCTGAGTGTGTGATGTCTAGGTGCAGCCAGCAGAGGGCAGCACTAACACATGAACCGAGATAAAGCATGTGGGACTGTAATGTTTCTACTTATTTCTTTGCACGGTGAATTGTTAAAGCTAAATGAAGTGTCAGGTCGGTGGTTGTAGCATCACGCAGCTCCAGGGGAGGCTTTCTCTGTCCCGGCCAGGCCTTCCTGCCTCTGCTGAAGCGAGCTGCGTCCAGAGGAGGGGCCATGGGCATCCGCCGGGCGGCTGTGGTCAACATGACCTCCCTGCTGGGCTCTGTGGAGCTGAACTGGGGCGAGCGGGCCAACAACTTCAAGTGGTACCCCTACAGGACATCTAAGGTATTGTGGGAGCTCTTATTTTCCCTGTCTTAATATTGTTGCTTTTAGACAGATTTCAGCCAAACAAATCCTAAAATATGAGTGTTTTTTTTACGTAAATATGCGATGTAAAATGTATTTTTATGATGATTTTGCTCTTTTTTGCTGTATGTAAATGGAAATTTGTCTGCTCTCTAGAGGAGAAGTTAAGAGTTTTATCGTTTTTTCGAGTGTTTAAAGGGAAATTGGCTGTTTGGGTATCTGTTTTGTGTTTTTAATGGAAAACCGGCTGCTCATTTCAGAGCGCCCTGAACATGGTGAGCCGCTGTATGGCCGTCGACCTGGAGCCAGATGGGATTCTCTGTATGGCCATTCACCCCGGCTGGGTCCGCACCGACATGGGGGGGTCTGAGGTGAGGACCCGCTCCCCCAGCACAGACAGCTGTCTTATGACCCGTCTCAAAAGTTCAGACTTTGTTGTGGATTTTCCACCTTGAACGTCCTGGATGTGGTGCACAGATGCTGTTTCTGCTTCTTTCCAGGCTCCGTTGAGTCCTGAGGAGAGTATTTCCTCCGTCTTATCTGTGATTGGTGGGCTGACTGAAAAGGATCACGGCTCATTTCTGAACTTTACTGGAGAACAGTTGCCATGGTGATCTGCCCATCGGCTCGGTCCATTATTATGATGACGTTTAAAACGTGCTCATCAGCTTTAAAAAATGCGAGTGTTACAAATATTCAGGAGCAATAGTTTTCCGTTGTTGTAAAGAAGCAGCTTTAATGTTTAAAGTGAAATAGTGTTGAAGGACTTTATGCAGCAACTCAACTTAGGTTTAATACGATTACTCTCTGCTAGTTCAAACCTAAAAGAGGCGATTTAAAAGGTATGAAAAGACTCTGGAAGTAAACATTCAGCCTTTAAAGGAAAAACACTCTGGAAATGTTTCTGTTTGAGCTTTTGTGGCGTCTTTCACCAACAAAGCGATCCAACATCTAATTTATGCACTTTTTATGACGATTGTCATTTTTTGAGGGATTTTGTCCAGATTGTTTTTTAAACCAATTTTAAGAGATGTTAAACGTGCATTTGTTCTAAAACAGCTGTCTCAACTTTCAGTGCATATTCGAATAAAAATAACGTTTTTGTTGTCTTCTGCTGAGCAGTTGATTAAAAGACAATAGTATAAATGCTGTTAAATAAATTTGCTGTTGGTCTCAGTGCTAAATGAGCTACTTTGTTCCAGAATAACTGTGTTCCTGTTATGTTTATTACTTCAGTATGTAGAAGCTCTGCATCCTAAATTATATTTGAACACAAAAATAAAATTGTTATTGTTATCAATGCAACAGTTCTTGCCAACCTTCCAGCCTGGAATCAAATTAATCAGATTGGAATCAATTTAATCAGATTCATGCATTCAGATTCAGATTTTGTTTACTTGTGTTCTCCATATTAACAGACTCAAAGTAATTAGGCAGATAACCATTATTATGAAGAGCTTTTATTGACAATATGTAGGTCACCAGATTTAGAAGGCCTCCCTGTTAGTAGATTTTTTACTGCAGATTTCTTTAGTTTGGGATGATTTGTTTTTTTTGTGTAGAATGAAAAGAGGGGACCTACTTGACTGAGTTGGGTAAAGCACTTTTGTTTCATTCTTTGCACTTTAAGTATTGAAAAGCCTTTTTAAAAACAGAGTTATGTCAGATAAACTATTGTTTTTCCTTTGAAAATGTTTCATTCAAGGTTAACTTTGTCACAGAGTTCAATCAGGAAGTCGAAAAATATTTTGTTTCCTCATACCTGAGATGGGCATGTGTGGTATCTAATCTTTATCTCTCATGTGTTGACCTTTTCTCTCCTATTGTTGTGACACAGTCATTTCCTTTTACTTGCTGCATACCTCACATAAACAGAGTGTTTAAGACAGTGACAGAATTCTTCGGAATGAATGGCGTCAGAAGTCATCCCTGTGCGTCAGTAGTCTTAACCTGCTGCAGGTTGGCATCATTCTAAGTTTATAAAACCTCTCCCCAGCTGCTTTTGGAGCAATTAACAAAACAATATCGTACCAAGTGTCCCTTCTTCAGGTAAAAACTTAAAACAAGCTAATAAAGTGTTTGGATGTAATTCAGATAGCTTTTGAACAGTGTCATTTTTACATAATTTCAGAGCTGATCTGCACAAATACGTGTGGCATACTTTATCTTTTCCATCTCTATCTCATTTTAAACTTCTTTGACTTTTAAAAGGAAGAAAGCAGGTGTATGATCATAAGAAGCTCCCTCATATTTTTAGACAGAGCTAGTCCAACCTGTTTGGCGAGGAAGTCATGCGTTGAATGTGCATGATGAGAGCAGACAGAGGGAGGGAGGGTGTTTGGAGTTTGCAAAGCAGGAGCAACAGTTATATGATAAAAGACTAGTTTGAATTTCCCTTTCAGCCAGTTCTTTTGTCCCTGTTTCTACTGAAGAGCTCACGGCATGGATTCATAGCACAGGATGGAGCTTATGCACCGGAGCAGAAATAACAAATGAGCTTCTCTTACTTGTTTCAGGTAAATATTTATCTGTACTTTGACTTAGTTTTTTTGTCATGCGAGCGGAAAACTGTGACAAATATCACCTATTAAATAGATTTTATCTTTATTTTTACTTCTGTTGAGAAAGAGTTTCGAGTTCAATAACAGGTCCTCCAATTAAAAGTCCATAGTGCTGGAAAACTCTATGGACTTTTCACTTTTTCTATCATCCTTTATGGTAATTTGAATAGAAAGCCAGGAGGTCGAGTTTAATTTGACTAAATTGTATCCGATAGGATGTAATCAGGTCTTTACAACCAAGAAGCAACGGTAGAAAGGTTTTGTTCCTGGAGAACAAGGATGCACTCATTACTGAGAATACAGGTTTGTAACCTGATGCCAAATTGATCTTAGTCACTTAGAGAAGATGGTGGCTTTTAAAAGACTGAAATCCAGACTGTTTGTGGTGTATTTAGTAACAAATGATAAAAATGCCAAGTCTCAGTTAAATGGAAGCATGAAAAGCGTTTTTTTTAAGATGTGTTGAACAAACATGAACCGAAGTCTGTTCTTTAAATATGGACACCTCACATGTTTATCACATCAGATGATCCGTTGGCAAATATTTTGGGCATCAGCTTCGGCTTGTGTCGGTCGTTCAGTTCAGGAGAATTTGTCTCAATCAGATAAAAATCAGGTGATTGTTTGGCCAGACGAGGCCTTTTTCTGACTCTTTTTCTGCTTAAAGTCAACGTCACTGATTAATAATTTAAAAGTATGCTGTCACTTTTCATTGTGTGTTCACACATTGATATGATAAACATTTTATACAATTAACTTTTTTTCTTTGCTCCTCATTTATGTATGTAGATTGTATTAATATGAGAACCTGAAACAGCTGTACTAATTTGTAGGAGAAATAGATTAATTGACCTGACTGAGAACTGTGTATTTTTAATGTTATATTAACATGTGAATGCAAATGCATAACTGAAGTATTTAATTGTTGTCTGTTTAAAAAAGTTATCTCATCTTTTTTAATGTCTTATCATCATGCAAACTAACATTCATAATCAGAGTATATTTTTAAAAAGCAGCTAGTTCTAAATTATTGCTTTGTATGAAGTACTGTAATGCATATAATCATAATTAAATCAGTGATGCTGCAGTTATTCCAACAAGAAAAAATCACATGTTTCTAATATTGGTGTTTTCTCAAGCTGCAGAGTATGTAGAGACCACGTGGAGGAGTCATGGTGACTATCATAGACCATCCCGTGCTTTCAGCAGCTGGAGAGCTAAGGATGCCATTCCCAGATGGGGTTAAGTACTGCATTCTGGGAATTTCTGTTGTTCTCCTCCTGCTGGCCCTGGGCATCTTGGCCTGGCAGATCTCCAGATGCTTTTCACGGACTCACAGCACATCCAGTCAGCAAGATACTGGTAAGAAAAGCATATTTTGAACTTTAATGGAGTCATATTTTGCTTTCAAGGAGTAAAGCTACATCTAACTCAAGGGATGAGTCAGCATTGTGTCCAATCAGCAGAGCGGCAGCTTAAAGTGGATCTTTAGGCTCTTTGTCAGCAGCAGCCTGTCACAGAGACACATAATTTGTTCCATTTCTGTAGCCGATGGGAAAAAGGCCAAAGAAAAGCCAGTCTGACAGACAGGAAACAGGATTCCTGAGGATTCCCAAAGAGCTGCTGGCTGAAAACTGGGCAGATCTCAGCCTGGTGAGCAGTGAGTCCTTACAACATCTGAGGAAACTGGACCAGTGGAGGACAGAAGAAGAAGAGCTGGGCCTGAAAAACTCTCTAATCCAGCAGATGAAGAGGACCTGAAAGTGAGGTCCTTCAGAAAGAGGAGCAGATCCAACAGAGAGCTGAACAGGAGCTGAGAGCTGCATCTGGACCTCCAGCTGACCATCTCCTGGTGGCCTCATCAGAAATGTTCTCCATGAAGGGGGGCTGTAAGAAGCCACTCTGAAGAAAGGAAACAGGGAGGAAAGGCGTGGCTCTGCCAGAGGAACCAGAAGTGGACTGAAGCCCAGCTCTGATGGAGGGATGGATCCTCCCCAAAAGGCAGCAGCAGCATCCAGAGCAGAGCTTTGGGACGTCCTTCAAGAAGCTGGAGAGCTGCTCCTGGAGACTCCTTAAAGAAAGGAGCTGCTGGAGAGGCTTCAGGCTGGAGGAGGAAGCAGCTCTTCAGAATTGTTCAAAATCGTTTTTGCATGTTTCAATAAATCACTGCACTTATTTGCCAGCTCTCTGGAAATTTAATAAAGTCTCATTGTTCTCTCATTCTTTCTCAGTGACCAATGATCTGCTGTATTCAGATGAAAAGCCAACAACCACAGCAAACTACTCAGCACCTCCCAGTATGAAGGTGAGGGGAGTTACAATGGGACACAGTTTGAAAACATCACACAGTTTCAGGGTGCATGTTTCTGTCTCCAGGACATGAAAGGGATCCTAACATAACCTTACCTTGAAAAAAATCTTAATATTATCATTTCGTACCAACTCACTCATGCAGGCCATTTATTTAGTTGGAACTTAAGTGATGTAACAGCAGACGCTTGACCTTTTAAATCAAAACAGTGTTTGCTCTCACTGGAAAAACCTCCAAAATTCGACCTCGAAAAGGATTCATTCAGCTGTAGACTATTTGATCATTTTTTAGAGCTCAGGTAAGAAAGCCATTAAATGGGGTGAGTTCTGAGTCATATAAAGCTCTTTACTGTGCAGAATCTTTTTTTCCTTCACATTTTACGATCAACATGAATTAACATTAAATAAGACTTAGAACATTAAATACATGCCCTATATGAAATCAGCCACAGCTTCATATGTTTTACCTAAACTAAGATGGAAAAACATGATGAACTACAGATTAATTTTCATCATAAATACTAAACTCTCTTTTTGCAGTTAATGTTAAGAATTCAGACGTGTGTTGCAGATAGTAACTTACACAAAGAGTCATGAACAGCTTGCAGAAGACATTAGATATAGACTGTAGGTGCTATGAAAAAGTGAAAAATGTACATGCATTTTACAGGTGGAGGATGTTGGAACGGAAGCCCAAAGACTGAGTCGCTGTCTGACTCAGGCCTCCTTTCCCTCCTCAGAGTCCCTCCTATCAGAAGGAGACGAAAGAGAACAAGAAACCACTAAAAAGGTACTACATACTGAAATTTCCTTCATAAAACTGGCATCTATCCAATGTACAGTGTTTGTTCTCTTCACTGAGGCGCCAACAGTCATGTGAGATAAAGAGCACACCCTCTTTCAAGTGGAGGTTTTACATATCAGAACATACACCAATCAGCCATAACTTTATGACCACTGGCAGGTAAGGTGACAGTAACAGGTGTCAGTGTTCTGCACTGTGGTCTCATGTGGATATACATGCATATCCCTCCACAGCCACAAAGTAGGCATACAGCAACCCCCAAACCTGCAGCTTTAATATAAAAAAGAATGGAAAATAGGCCAAAGAGCCTGAAGGGTGCATCTCACCTCTAATCTCTCCAGATATCAGTCTTATGGCATCGTATAGCACCTGTGGAGAGCTAGCCCAGTCTAAATAAAAAACACACAACCAAAAAGACTGAGTACATCTGGATGACGAGAGCACACTCTGTGTCTAACAGAAAAAACTTTGGCCCCACCACATCCTAGAAAGTAAATATAAGAATCTCAAACAGCCTTTTAGTAGTGAGATGTAACTTTTTGATCTTTGGTCTTGGGGTGATCTTGCTGAGTCATCGGCTCCTGGGAAGATGGACAGTTGTCCTTAATGTTTTCCATGTGAATAATGTTTCTTTCTGCAGAACGATGAACTCCAGATAGTTTTTAACTGGCCTTAAACCTCCAGAGTGATGGCAGCAGCTGCTTCTGTCATATGATTCTGATGTCTTTCCTCCTTGACGTTGTGCTAACACACACCAGAAAGCTGCAGAGCAGTGAAAAATAACCAGGGTGTTATGCACACTTTTAGGGTTCATTAGACCGTGTGTCAGCTGAAAGATTCCAATTGAAAGAGACTAAACTGATATTTGTCCTGGGTCAGGTCGACGGCTCGCTGCGTTTCTCAGTGTACCATGACCAGCTTCAGTCTCGTCTGGTGGTCACAGTGTTGCAAGCTGAAGGGCTTTCAAACCCAAGCACGACCACAAGCCTTCAACCGTTTGTTAAAATACTCCTCATGTGGGGTGGATCAGAGGGAGTCGAACTGGAATACTCAAAAGAAGAGGTAATTCCATATGCACATATATGTTCATGCTTGTATAACTATTCTCTGATGAAGACAAACACTTTTAAGCTTCTATAAACCTTAATGTTGTTGTTTTTTAGATGTTGATGCAAAGTATAGAATTTCTCAACCTCTTTGTCTTCAGCTTTACAGAAACATATCTGTACTAAGGATACTTTGATCCTTTAGGGTGATGTCACGCCCCCTGTGCTGTGGACGGTGATGCAGGAGTGGCGCACTCGCATCATAAAAGGCAGCTGCAACCCCTTATTTGGGGACCAGTTTAGCTGCATCCTGCAGGAGGACAAAGACACGCTTCGTAATATCAACCTCAGGATGGAGGTCCTGCGAGGCACAGACACATTCACATTCAGCTTTATTTAAAAAGCCCCCAATCACATCCCATGTTCTCTCATTGTCTCATCAACCAAATTAACATCTCAGTCACCTTGTATTAACGTTACAAGGGTTGAAAATTATGTATTCATTTAAGTATACATTTCATTCAGGAGAAACAATGTGCTTCAGAGAGAAAGATTATTTTTGTTGTTTAATTTGGTTACTAAACTGCTTGTTTCTATCATCTCAGGTGCGGGACTTCGATAAATTCTCCAGACACACGGTGTTGGGAGAGGTGAGGGTTCCTTTGGGACAGCTGGACATCTCCTATCCCCTGGAAATACAAGAGGATCTGCAGACACCCCAGAAGGTACAGTCACATTCAGGAAGCAGAGGGGAGATAATGTAACTTGGGTTTAACCAATGATTTATGAAACAATCAGGAAATTGTCCTGAAATAAACATTTGTAGCCATCATTCTATCTACTTATTTCTTTTGATTGGCCTCCTTGAACACTTTAGTGCCTGCAGAAGTTTCAGTTATTTTGATTCGGTAATATTGACATAATGCTGATAGTTTTTTTTATGCAATGTTTAGGACCTTGTCGGAGAGGTTTTGATGTCATTGAGGTTTCTTCCCACCTCCCAGAGGCTTGAAGTCGGTCTGTTGAAGGTCAAAACAGTCCTCACGGATATGTGCCACGATTCTGGTAATGTACAAAGATGAAGTCCCCAGTTGTACTGTTTACGCATACATTTGGATAATATCCTTATGTATTAGATGTGTCTGTGTCTGTGCTGTACAGCCCTGTATGCCAGGATCAGCCTGCAGTGCAATCGGAGCAAGCTGAGGTACCAGAAAACCTGTGCAGTGACCAGTTGCCCAGTGACTGTTTTCAACGAGGTCCTCATGTTCTCCCTGCCAGAGTTTCCACTGGAGCAGTGCAAAATCTCCATCGCTGTGTACGAAACTCGCACAAATAGGAAATCAAACAAACGACTGATCGGACAGTTACATGTGGGGAAAGAAAAGAGCTCAGAAGACATGCATTGGACCTTGATGCTGTGTTCACTCCGCCAGCCTGTGGCAAAGTGGCATTGTCTGCTCATTTAAACAACACCATACAGATGTCTTAGTGTCCTCATATTTGGTGATTGCTTCTATTCATATTCAACTGAAAGTTGTGGTGCTTGTGCATTACACTATTTTAGTATCTGCTCTGGCTAACCTAATCAATATGAAGTCCTGTCCCACTGTTAGAGCGCTTTCATATTTATGATATTTTTAGCTTGTTGTTACACAACTATATTTGTCTCTTCATATAACAAAATCTATTTCAGTTCTAAACATTTTCTACTTATTTTCTGAGTAACCTTTGTATTTGTGATAAAATTTTCTTAAAAGTTACCTATAGAGGATCAACAAATCAAGCAAAACTGAAACAAAGAATCAAACATGCTACACAATAAATAAATAAAAGATATTATAATGCATAGCAAAGCAGTTGAAACAACAATAATTCACAAAACATGAGAGCTTGGGGATAGATTTAATTTAGAAAATTACAAATAAATCCTGCTGCCATCTTTTAGCGTGATGATTTTTATTTATTTATTTTTGTTGGGATACATGAAGCACGTGAACCAGTCATTTTTTGCAGCGATAAATTATCATATTTTGAAAGCAACAGTCCAAAAGTAAAAATGTTATCAACCTTTTACTTCTCTATCATCATATTTTTGCTTTTAAGAACACACGCATGAATATGTATACATACACTGTTTTGTCAAATCTTGCGAGTTGTTGAACGCTCTGTGTGTGTGCATGCGCGTACATTGACAGCAGCATAGTGCTAAAAATAACTGAAAACAGAAAACGTATTGTTAATTACCAGGCGACCGGTGCGCAGACAAAAACCTCTCTCTGGGTCCAAGAGCCCTGAGATTTGGGTGTGATGGACATTGTCTCCTTGGCTCGATCGGCCTCTTCAAAGGAGGGCTAGACATAACCAAGTCCTATTGGCTAGTTACCTCTGTTCATGAACAGGCCAGGTCCTTATTCATGCAGAAAACATTGGAATGTAGTAACAAAATGTGTGTGTGTTGACCTAAAGACGTGTGTCTAAAGCAAAGGAAATGAAAAGAGAGAAAAGAGAATCTGTGGTTACAGCCAGAGAATTTAACAAAAAAGTATAGTAGACAATCAATAATTTACATAGATCATATTATAGGATACAATGCTAAAGTGAGTAATTATAGCCAAATTCTAACACAGACATTGAAGCTATACAGGTAAACTTGTATGAGAATTGAGAAATATGTCCTTTTTGGGGAATAATAAAGTATTTCTGATTCTGATAAATTCATTTGAGTTGATTTCTGCTGCATGTTACTGTTCTGAAACAACTAATAGTAAGATCCATGTTCTTCCTTTTCCAGTTAAATCAGTCATGGATTGCATTGAACCATAATTGTTTTTAAAATCAGAAGAAAGGTAAAACAGCAAAGGCATTCAGCAACACGTTATTGGTGTAGGGATATGTAGTCTGCGGGTCGTCCTGCCCCGTCAGCTTGTGCAGCTGGATGTTGTCAACCGCCAGTCCCCTTTGTGGAGTCACCGTCCGCTCCACCATCGCCTCCAGGAGCAGGGTCTGCCGCTCCACCTGTGCCCCCAGCTGCTGCCGGTTCAGGATGGCTTGGTCCTGGTTCATTACGGCCACCTCTGCCAGGATCTGCCCCAGGGTTGCTGCGGTTCAGTCATCGCTCAACCCTCTCGTCCGTCGAGAACAAGTTGGGCACCAATACTGTCGTGGGTGCCTCGACAGATTCTTCAAGACCAGGGTTTGTGGTAAGACTTTTATTGTGTGCGCGCATGCACACACACAGAGCGTTCAACTCTGTTGTTGCGATCTCGATCACTTAGATGTAGGGGCTCAGTAGTTTATCAATCTCCAGTCCTCTCTAGCCAACTGATTCCAGGTGTGCTAATCACCCCCCTGGCCCTGCTCCCCAGAGTCTTCCCCACACCTCCCCTCCTGCAGCTGAGCACCACGCCCTGTCCACAGTACACTATCAGACTGCAACTTAAAATGGTTTGAGATCTTCATACTTCATGTTGTTTGCCAATGAATGTATGATTTTTAGATTTCGGTACCACAGCTTTCAAATATGACAACTGGTTGCATTATGTTAATATATTCTGTTGAGTTTTAAACTGCCTGTAAATGTACATGAGCTAAACCATTTGTCTCACATTAACGATTTAAGAGGACAATCAAAATATCACAGACAACTAATTTATGGTGAAAATATATTTATTGTGGAATATTTCAAATCATATTGTATGATTGGAAACAAGCCTTCTTCTAGGGAGCTTTACTCAGCAGAATCTTTTCCCTATAAGAAAAAAGCCTCAATTAACAAACAATGATAAGGATTTACGTGATTATATTTAGTAAGGAACAAGTTATGAAAGAACAAAAATATCATTGTTATATCTATTATAATTTGGTGTTTATCAAACAAATAAATACCTTTCCAGAGTCACGACTCTTTGCCCTCAGCTTGTTGACCTGAG